AAGCTCGTTACGATTACTTAAACATCTCAACTTTACTTGCATGCACAATCCACCCTTCTTCCTGCTGTCTCTACAGCGCACTCTGTTCGATTGCTGTCCCTCTGCTTGCATCCTTCTCAACCCTCAATCTTCATTGTTGCTGTATGCAGCAATTACCCTATAAAACTGTAGACCAATGGGCTTCATCTCCAGTTGCTGTTGTTTGTGTTTCTATGTTATTCGCATCTTTTCTTTATTCTCTAGAGTTTTGGGTCTAGGGTTTATGGTTTAGGGCTTAGTGATTAAGGCTTAGGGTTTAGTGTTTAGGGTTTAGGGTTTAGTGCTTAGTATTTAGGGTTTAGGGTTTAGGGTTTAGGGTTTAGATATGCGTTGCGTGGTTTTACTGCGTCTCTGTGTCTCGGCATTTGTTTCGGAGTGCTTGCGGTTTCTCAGCCCCATTAATGGTTTGCATGCAAAGAGAAGAATAAATAAATATTTCTTTTTATGTTTTATATTCTTAGTTTAGTAGAAGACAAACAAGACGGGGCTTTTTTTATTTGCATGCAGCGCCCGCCGGCCCCACCGCTGCAGCAGATGGTGTTAGGGAGTTTATTGCATTTCTTCTTTGCTTTGTTTAATTAATAAGAGAGAAACAAATACAATAAAATAATAAATTTATATTGTCTCTCTTACAAAAAGCAACAGCTACAGCGCTCCCCACATCTACCCCTCATGGAGCTTCAAACGTTGTGAGTTCGATCTCGCCGCTGCGGGATCGTCTGGGATCGTCTGGGATCGTGTGGGATCGTCTTCTTCTGTTCCCTTCTTTCTTTCTACCCTGACACAGCCGTTTTAGGTAAAGCAGCGGCAATACAGCAGCAAGCGGCTGCTGCTGCTGCTGCTGCTGCAGCTGCAGCACGTTGCTGGTGGCCCCGTCAGCCTTCTGGGGCTTTTCTGCCTTTTGCTGCAGTTGCGGCAGCAACTGCTGCAGCAGTTGCTGCAGCAGCTGCTGCTGCAGCAGCTGCTGCAGGTGGTGGTGCAGGTGCACCTTGTTCTTTGGTGATCGTTCGCCGCCTCCTAGCAACCCTAAACCCTAAACCCTAAACCCTAAACGAGGGTGCCGCACCTGCAATGGGCTTATGCTGACTCTATTTCGTTTTGTTTGCTTCATCAGCACAGCATAAACCCTAAACCCTAAACCCTAAACCCTCGCTCTCCTTCCCCTCACCATGACGCGCTGCCACCTCTCCTCGAATTTAAAAGCATTAAGGCGTTCAACAACTGCGTCGAAGAATTACTCTCTTAACTTTCTTAGAGCCCGCAGCGCCCACAGCAGCGTAAGTGGGGGGCCCCTGGGGGCCCCCCTGGGGGCCCATCTAGCCCCCACAGGGCAGCAGCAGCAGCAGGCGGAGTTGCTGCAGCACCAGGGCGCTGTTTGCTGCTGCAGCAATGGAGAAGCACATAGGAGAGAAAGAGGAGGGGGTAACGCATGCGGTGTGTCTTCTACTATGAAGACAGGCAGCAGCAGCAGCAGCAGCAGCAGCAGCAGTTCCGCTTTTGCGTCGGTGCTGCAGAGGCCGTTAGCTGTGGTTTCTCCGGGGCTGTTTCAGCAGCAGCAGCAGCAGCAGCAACGGCTGCTGCAGCAGAGGCTGCTGCTGCAGCTGCAGCAGAGGGGACAGCGAGCCTTCTTCTTTACCAGTGTGGGGCCCGGAGCGCTGCTGCTGCGGTGTATGGGGAGAGTCTTATTAACAGAGGGGCCTCAAAAGGCGGTGCCCCGCTCGGGTGTATGTACACCCCCCAGCTCCTCAGATGCCTCTGCTGCTGCTGCTGCTGCTTCTCCTGGAGGAGGAGGAGCAGCAGGAGCAGCAGGAGCGGGAGCAGCAGCAGGGGCAGCAGCAGCAGCAGCTACTGCTGCCTCGGGGACAGCCGGTGGAAGAGAAGCTAGCGATGCAGCAGCAGAGGGGCCTTGGAGCTGCTGCTTTGTCTCTCCTGCTGCAAGAGAGACATCTGTCTCTGTTTCTGTCTCCTCTTCGAAGCTGTCTCCGCTGCATGCAAGAGGGGGGGCCCCCCAACTAAATGCATCAAAGAGGCTCAGCAGCTTCACCCCACAACAAATGCCCGTATCCCTCAGGGGCAGGCAGCTGCAGCAGCAGCAGCAGCAGCAGCAGCAAGGCCCCCCACCTATGCCTTCGAACCCCCCGCACAACCCGCTGTTGCACCTTGGAGGCGGTGCAGTAAGCCCCAGCAGCACCATCAGCAGCAGCAGCAGCAGCAGCAACAGCAGCAGGCTGGGCTCTCCCCCTCCCTTGCGCCTCGGCTGCTCTGGGGGCCCTTCTCGCTGCTATTCAGTTGCTGCCTTGGGGGCCCCCCTTGCAGACAGGCGGCGGCGGCACCTTATGGGGGCCCCCTCTTCTATGGGGGCCCCCTCTATAAGTACCCCCTGTTCGACATCCCCCTCTATAGGGGCCCCCTCTATAAACACCTCATCTATTCAAACCCCTTCTATGGGGCCCTCCTCTATAAACACCCCCTCTACGGGGGCCCCCTCTAGAGGGGCCCCCTCTAGGGGGGGCCCCTCAAGGGGGGCGGGGTGTATGGGTTTATTTGAGTGTTTGAGGGGTTATAGCAGCGGGTGTGGGGGCAGCGGGGGTCGTCGATGCCCGTATGAAGTATTGGGGTGTACGCGGGGGGCTTCAATAGGAGATATTAAGAAGGCCTTTAGAGAGAAAGCAAAAAAACATCATCCGGACTTAAACCCCAGCCCTGAAGCGAAACAAACTATGGCAGAGATCACTGCGTAGGTGCATGCATTAAACAAACAAACAAACAAAACCCTAAAACAGAATATACGGGGGTGGAGTGGGGGCTTCGAGCATGCAGCGCAGGCTGCTTCAGCCTGCTGCAGCCATTGCTGCTGCTGCTGCTGCTGCTGCTGCTGTTGAAATATTTCGTGCCTGCGGAGCGCCGTCTCCCGCTTGCTGCAGAGCTGATGCTGCTGCTGCTGCTGCAGCAAGTGCTGCAGCTGCAGCAGGTGCAGTTGTCTCCTTGCGGCTAGCAAAAGGAGACAGCAGGTCTGAGCCCAGGGTGTCTCTTGATATAGGGCCCCGCATTGGTTTGTTTGCGGAGGGGGTGTATAGGCAGCTTTCCGCGCGGTGGTTTGGGGTGTACTGGCAGCTGCGGCAAGTGCGGTGTATAGGGAGCTAAGTGCTGTTTTTGGGGTGTATAGGCAGCTCCACGGCTGATGTTGGGGTGTATAGGGAGCTCCATCTGGCCGCTATTCTGTACTGGTGCCTTGGGGTGTATATGCATGCAAATGTAGGGCGTTGAGGTGTATATGCATGCGAATGTGGGGCTTTGTGGTGTATATGCATGCAAATGTGGGATGCTGGGGTGTATATGCATCTGCATGGTTGCGGATGCATGCGCATCTGGGGCGTTGGGGTGTATATGCATCTGCATGCAGGGCTTACGAGTTTCTAAGCGACCCCAAGAAGAAAGAGTTCTACGATAAGACGGGGCTTTCGCCCGAAGACGCAGCAGCAGGGGGTGGTGCTGCAGGTGGAGCGGGAGCAGGTGAGTATCTGTCTCCTTTTGTCTCTTTATCTGTCTCCTTTCGTCCTTTTATCTGTCTCCTTTTGTCTCTTTATCTGTCTCCTTTTGTCTTTTTATCTGTTCAGTTTGTTAAAATAAATAAATAAGTTTATTCATTTACTTAATTTAATTTGTTAACCTATTTATTTAATTATATATTGTTTATTTTATTTATTTATTAATTTATTTATTTCTTTAGGTGCTTTTGCTGGGGGCTTTGACCCTTCAATCCTCTTCACCGATTTTGCTGAGATGTTTGCATCGATGGCTGGGGGCAGCAGCAGCAGCAGCAGCAGCAG